ATCATTCTTATCGAGATTGAGGTATTTCAATAATACAATTGTATGTTCGGAGCTCAGCACTCCAACGTAATAGACGATTTGAGTACCGATAGGTAATATGATTATAATAATTCAACAATCGTGTCATTTGATGTTTAACATGGTTGCGTTCACTGATGGAACATTTTAATTAATATTATTTACAGTTCGAAAACCATGTTGTGATCAAATTAAATTAAAGTGATTTTTAAAAATAAGAAAAAATAGAATACCAATATCAAGCATTTTTTTTTTATCGAAATGATTAATCATACGCTTTTACAATTAGTAGGAGAAACATAAATTATACATTTCATAATAGTACATTACACTAATTTCAAAGACATTTTCTATTTTCTTATTGTCATCTTTAAAATATATAATTTTTCACAAATGTTTAGCCTACAGAAACGTACACTTTATTCGATAAAAAGTATCAAAATATGACACTTAAATACGATAATATTCTGAACACAAATGGCTGACTGACTGTAAAAAAATATTTTAATTATGATTTTAGGAAGTAAATTATAAATAAGTATCAATTTGAAAGAAACATAGTTATTAAAAGCATTTTAAACCTATAAGTTACTGTTTTTTTAGTTGTAAATCACAGTTTAGTGAAATAGCATAAAAAAATCGAATGTCTTCTTCTGTCAAAACGTATGAGTTAAGATTAGTAATGAAAAAAAAAAGATTTATTTGTAATGTTTTTATTTATTGTATTTTATAAAAATTAATTAAAATAAGAAAGACAAGGATAGTATAAAACTTTACTGCACGATTTTAAGACAACACATTATTATAATCTAATTCATAAACACACAAACGCTTTTAGGTTGTAAAATATTAATATAATATTATAGAGCACATTATACACTTAATTAAAAAAAAAAATACCAAATTAAATCTATGAATAAGTTACTATTTTCAATTTTGAACAATAGCAGTACTCACTGTTTATTTATTATCAAATAATTATGAATTCAATACACGTTCAGGAATTACAATTAATGACAGACGGTTTACACGTGATCATCAAACGTTTGTAGGGCGGCTAACATTATTATGGTTTAACGATATACAAGCATAATGACAAGATACGTGTGTTACAATGATTTTATGTGGTCTTCCACTTTCCAGTACAACAACTTACTTCAGATGGCTTTTATTTTTGAATATTTTTCTATGTATTAAACAATAATATTGGTTTTTGTAATATATTGATAACTATACTTGTTTAACAATGTTTTCAGAAAACGTTTAGTTTGTTTTTGTTTTTCGGGTAATTATTTTAAATCGCACTCTAAGTACCGCTAACAATACAAAGCATTAACCGTAAACTGCATAATTTATGAACAATAACACACTACATCCTCTTGCATTGCAAAATCAATCAAGGAGGGGCAGACATCAACACAAACTTCATCAATATTAAATTACATTTAAATATATAATTTAACAGTGGCGTGATAAATTTATATTTTATTCAACAAACTTATCAACTTAAATCGCTATTGATTAAACATTGTATCAACGTAATCTAGAACATGTGTTTTTAAAACATTTTATTTTTATTTTCCTATATTGGATGCGTAACAACACACAATTTGGTTCTTCAATAATGTATGTGAAAACTTTGACAGTAGTATAAAATTTATTATTACAGTTAAAATTGATCATGCAATTTGTTAACATAATTTTTACATTGAAAAATATCTATACCTATAGGTATACCAAACTTTTTGAATAAATCTTAATAATTTATTTTTGTTAAAAAGTCCACTTCAATGATGTGAGGAGATTGATCAGACATCTAAAATAACAGTTACTTAGATTATTCAAATTATTCTACCCATTTTACATTACTACACTAAGAAAGTGCAATATAATCAACCAGTAGGAATTTTGGCCATCATTTTTAAAATTAGAGTAGAACGAATGTTTTTTCACTTATCTTTATTGTGTAATAAATAATAATTTATGTAGTCATATTATACTAATCAAATTGTATGTAGAACTTCAAGCATAGGCTTAAACATGAGGGGGGAGGCTAAAGTCTTATAATAGTTCCATATTACTCCAATATGAAAAATAATGAGCCTCGGAGTTTGCTATTTGGTAAATTTACCCCTCTCCCCTCCCCCCCCCCAAAAAAAAAGTGGATGTCACTCTACTATACACTATTTGGGTTAGGTGTCTAAGAGGTCACTGTTATGGATGGTATTAATTTTGAATTCAATGATATCAAATCATTGTTTACGAAAAACGATTCTGAGCGGAGACGGTATGTCAGTTCAGGATATTTTACATTTTTATTACTCATTATTCATATGGTGGCCTGTAAGTTGAATTAATATTATTTTTTTAAATTATCAGTGATGCTGGAAAAATATTAAATATACCCATGTAAAATCGGGCTGTTTTGGAACCGAATTACAACGAAATGATAACCATTATTCTTTGTGTTAATATGTAATTTTGTCCAAATTTGAACTTAAAATGTCTGTAAAAAATGACTGTATTCATATATTTTTAGATTTCTTAGTTATAGAAAAAACTGCTTAAGTTTTAACCATGTTTTAAATTTTTAATCCTTACCTATAAAAATTGAACATTTAATACATTTTTAAATACAAAATCATTCTCAATTTTCAACTTGATAAATATTGTCATTTTGAACTTTAAATGCTTATAAAAAAAAAATCGTGCTCGTGTATTTTCAATATTTTTCAACTGTGTATTGTTTTAACAATAGTTATCAAGAGTCTTGTATTAAACATTTGTTGTAAGTTTCAAGCGTCTACAGTAATTCGTTTTTGAATTACAACAAAATAAGGAAATCGCTACAAGAGAAATCGAGTGATGAATATCCAATGTTGTAAAAATTTTAACTTCAAACGCTCATATAAATTTAATTGACTTTCCGGTAAAAATTTTTTTTTATTAAATTTAAACAAACTTACAAGGAATCTTGTATACATTTTTTAAATCTTAGACAGAAATAAAATTTTTTTTATGAATTCTAACTAAATATAATTTGCTAATTTTCGTGATTTTTACAAATGTTTTCAAAATTCTAAGTTTAAACACTCATCAAAAATTGTTGTGGATTTATGCTCAACTTTTTTTTTTTAAATTCCATTAACAACAGCTTACAAGGAATCTAGTGTTACATTTTAAAGTTTTTTGACGGAGTGGAAATTTTTTCATCGACTTGGTTTTAAAAAAAACAAATAATAATCTAAAATCTTATTTATTTATAAATAGTTCAACACAAATCAAAATATTTTGAAAATTGTATGGTGTATAGAAAAGCTTACACAAATATTTAGTGAAAATTGCATGTATCTATACCGTCATTTTTGTTAGAGTTACTCTAAAAACTAAAATCGATTTTTTCGAAAAATGGTTTTGAGTAAAAATTCCTATTTTTCCATAATATTTTGTTTGTTTTTCCTGTTGCTTTTGAAAAATATTGGGAATTTCAAATTTTGACCTCCTGAATGCACCAACTAGATTCACTTCCCTTTCAGAAAAGCTGCTATTTAAGAAAATCGATGCATTTTTACTGCAAGAAACCTTGATGACAGACACAACAAATAAATAAATAAATAAATAAATATAAAGACACACGACATTGTAAAATCAATACATTAAACGCTACACTCAGAATCTAAAATGTAATCTCTAGTTGTGCCTTGACTCCGTGGACTTTTTAACTTAGCACTGAGAAACGCAAAGCTCCGAAACCAACTTACAATAACTGTAATTATTAATATTAAAAATTAATCTCTACAATATACATTTAGTCCTATGTAATTTGGATGAAGTGGTGGAAGGGAGTAGTGTTGGGTTTGTCTTAAAGTTTATTTTAGCCATAGCATTTAAAATAAATCAACTTAGGAATTCAAAATATTAATTCTCAATTACTTAAAAATTGAGCTCTTTGACCGTAACAATTTATTCATGTAGTGTGGTTAAAATTTGGCAATAACTTCATACAGGTATAGATCCAAGTTGAAATTACTAACAGTCTATATTTTGTGACCGTTTAGACCGTTGCATACCTATTTTTTCTTGTGAATCAGCAAATAAAATTTAGGTTAATGTTTAATAGAATAATAATTAATATAATTTTAAATAGGACCAATAATAAAAAAAATAAAAAATAAAGCAGTGTCTACTGGTCTTTAAAAACAATCTAGTTATAATGTGATATTCATTATAATATGTTCTTAGGAAAAAAATTATCTAAAAAAACACAGTTTTCTTTAATGAAATTATAAGATAAATTTACTTTTATTAGAAACTAATTCAATTATTTAGGAACATAATGCTGTAAATAAATAACTCGTGCTATAAATAATTATAAACTGTGTTTTTTTTTTAACATTTACTTATATTAAAAATACATTTAAGTCATGTAAAGTTTTATTTAATCCAATTCAATTATATATTATTATAATGTTCTAATCAGAATATGTCCTTTTAATCTTTTTTTTCTTGTTTCAACTTTCAAAATAAAAAGAATAATCTTACATAAACAAAATTACTGTATACAATATTATGATGACAAATTATATATTTGTTTTAACACAAACTTTTGAAAACCCACCAATCCTTCTCACGATTTGTTTTTGTAAAGGAACGGAATTTTCTTATTTTGGTGTCATGTCACTAGGTGTATAGTTTGTTACATTTGATATCACTATATTTTTTGTACTTTTGAGAAAAAAATTACCTTATGAAACAACAGTATTAAAATATATTAATTAGTACCTACATACACTAGACAGTAGTTAGCATACTAGGTATATCCAACAGTAATACACATTTTAGAAGCACTCATTCAGCATGAGTAATATTTTTTATGTTAACCAATATTAGGCTTTCATTTTTTTTTTATATACCTTCCTAGTTAGTTATCAGTACAATATAGTTTTATAAGTAATACTATGTATTTATTTGTCGTGTTTCAGGGAGATCTGAGATCGAGATGCTTATCGGTGGTACTTTAGCTGTCCAATTGAATTTCTAAACCTTGGCGGATGACCTCCGTACGTTTCAGGGAAATGGTACCAAATTTGTTCTTTGTTGCACTGATAATCAATGGTAAGTTATACCTATTTAAATATTTAAAAAATATGTATCATATCATTCATTAATATTTATTTTGTTATTGTCGTATAAAAATCTATTTCATATTTTTTTATTAGAATACAATACTATTGTACGTATGTTAATTAAATAGTTTTATAAATAATGTTAGATATCATTGTAATGTGGTCTATTTTTCTTCTTCTATATCCCAACATCAACCTCAATAATGTTTTATGTAAAACACAAATTACTTATTAGAAATAAATTAATCTTTATTTTTATTTGATGTGAGTAGAAACTGTGTACTAAATTGTATAATTTAATCATTTTCGTCAGATGCAATTTATACAACATAAATGTTCATCATAAAGGGTGTATTTTAAAATAGAAACAATTGAGCAATTTGTAATGTTAATGTAAAATTTTGTAATTGTTTAACAATTTAACAATTGTCAAGTTACATAAAAAGTAGTATTCAATAAAAAAAAAAATGAACGCCAGCTTATAACCTTGTTGATGCCTCTGAAAATTAAAAAAAAAACAATTTTCATAACAAATCATTATAAGAATATATGCATATAGCTATATTATCAAGCAGTAAACATTTTTCTTTATATTCGTATTAACTAATAATATATTATTGGTGAAATACAATTTCAATATTTTTTGAATGAAGTTAAATATGTTTGTGTAACAAAATATATTTTATTATTTTTAGTTTATAACAAGCATTTTAGTTTTATTCAGATTTCCAGTACCAAAATTATAAATGTAGTGACTATTGAAACACTGCAGTTTTATAGTAAAAATACCTTGGTACAAATGTATAATTGAAACTTAATACAGGTTGATACATCATTCTCAACTTCATTGTTTCATGTTTAATATAATGAATTCATTAAAATTCTATTTTTGAAATTTATAAGTTCACATAAAAACCATATTCTCAAATACTTGGATTTTATATATCATTAAGGAGTGTCCTGTGGCAATACTATACTTTATTCGAATGAGAATTACATTTTTTCCGGTAAATTGATTGGCTATAATTTAGGATATAATGTTTTTAAAAATTTGTCTATTATTTAAGATACTTCAAAAGAGTAGTTTTGAGATAGTTTTAACTTTTTGTACTAAAGATAATAATAACCCAATTATATAGGTTTGGAACTATAATGAAAATTATAGTTATTAATGTATAAATATTTTATAGTTTGTAAAATTGTCTGAATCTTGAGAGTACTATACTAATTATTCTATCTATTCTATGTTTTTGTAAACCTAAGAATAACTTAAACATGTAAATATTTTTTAGTATCTTAGAAACTACTCATTAAAATTTTGATTTAGATATTTAAAACTAAAAAAATAAAATCATCTGCTTAACAATTTATTATAAAATAAGGTTTGTTCTCATTGTTATAAATTACGTTTGAATCGTCGTTAGATTCCTTTATTATTATAAGAATGTTAAATATTTGAAAGTATGGCTATTAAATAAACTTACAAATAATAAAAATACCAAAAATAATAATTTGAATAAATTCATAGTTAAACAAAAAAATGAAATAATGGAGGTGAGCATGCTTCGTGAGCACTCCATATTATAATGGAATATTCTAAATTAACTTGATTAATGAATAATGTTACGTTAATATCATTTTAAATATTTAAGAGAAACATTTTAAATAATACTTTGGTTTATCAAGTGTTTATATTTTATTTTCTTATTTTATGACAATTTGTTGAGCTTTTATACATTTTTCTGGTTTATTTTTATAAAATTTAAATTATTTGACTTAACTTAAATAGTTGATAAAAATAATGTCTGTACAGCATTAATTGTTAGAGTTTTTTCAAAATAAATTGTGAAATTTTTTTTTCTTATTACCTATGTAATCAGTACTAGAACTACATTACTGAAGCAAGTGATTTAAGATACCGGAATAGGAACATACTGTACGTTTTAGAGTATTCTAAGTGACAGAGATAAGTGGAGATAGACACCAATAATCATTTAACCAATCTATGGGTTGAAAAAAAAAATCAGTACTCCTTATTTTGTTAAATATTTTGAATATTATCTCCACTGACAAATTCCACGAAAAAATAATTTGGATATCAAATCACCAAAAATACTATTGGCATGGGTATTTACTATCTAAACGTAAATGTAGCCACATCATTGTTTTATTTTTTGATTAAATTTGTTTTAAGTTTAAGACAAAACGTTTGTTGTCAACCTAAAGAATATTTAAATGATCGATGCTGTTCTTGGTATGGTTGCAACTTGCAAGACGCATTTATCAAATACCATCAGAGAAACAATAAGAACTTTCGGTCACAGTTTTAACCCTTGACAAGTGAACCAAAGGAGGGCGAGAGCAAAATAATAAGTAGTACCTTACACAATAATATACTCACAGTATATAATATTCTCAAAAAACTTTTGTTTGCGATCACCCCGTACAGGACCCATATTATACACTTTAATTCGTTATTAGAGACAAGGCTGTCATTGGAAAATTCACTGCTACATTTCCCTGTGCGTTTATAATGGACATGGATCGATATATAACAACGGAAAATAAAGTTATTTCGTTGGATTTCGAATAGAAGTTTTAACCCTGTCAAAAATGATTTATAATTCATTTTTGTTTACCCGAATGTTTTATATCACTATATCACATGACGATATTATTAAACCCAAGTGTTGTTATTTTAATTATTTTTATTTAATTTAATTTTTAAGACCCTTGTTATTCTTCTTCTTATTTTTGATTACCCATTTAAAAACAAATTAGATCATTGTAATCGTTTTAACATTAATTATAAATTATAACGAATTGCCAATTATTGTATTTTATATTTTGTGTTTAATAATAATTTATTTTAGTAAAGATACTAAAAATTAACTCGTTAAACAAATAAAATAATAATTGATCACCAAATATTTGGTGCTAAACTGGCTTTACGTAAAAAAGTTGAAGTAACATTTGATACAGTTAAAAATTAATATATTAACCAATTAATACATTTTAATAAAACCTTTATATTATATACTTTGGTTCAACGTTCAAACTATAGCAACAAAAACAGTTTTTTCTAAGTTTTCATAAATATAATGTAAAATTTATATATAGAATACCTAAATTAAATATAATATCGAAAATATTATAATCATATAAATATAATATAATAGTATATGGTAGGTACATAATTAATTTAATTTGTATATGTAGTGTATAAGACAACGATAAGCATTGAATCAATGTAATGTATTATTCAAATGCATTAAAATCAAAATTAAATGTATATATTTGATTATGTGACTAAAACTATTTGCATGAAGCAAACAATTCATATTTCATATAATCATATGATTATAATTATCCAAGTTATTTGGATCACATCCATGGGTAGTTATATCGGTTTGACGTATACAGAGCTTATTCGGTCGGTTTTCACAAAACCTTTTAAATTCTAAGTGAAGCTTTCTTGAATGTATTTTTTTTTGACAATGATGCGTTTTTTTATTTAATATGTTGTGTCTGTCATCGCGTTTCGGAGCAGTACCTATACATTCCAAACTACAACTTTGTGGATGATTTCTGGAATCAAATTGGATCTTGTTGGAAATTTAGTTAGCAAAAAGTTGAATATACTCTTTTCCAAAATAATCGAGAAATAACAAAAATAAAATTAAAAAAAAAAAAAGGGAGTATTAACTCAGCATAAGTTTACACACAAAATCAATTTTGTATTTTCATTGTAATTCAAAAATAAAGAACTGTCAACACTCGAAATTTCTCAAATACTTATATTAGCGTTTTATTTATTCACTATAATTTTCAATATTTATGCTCTTTTTGAGCCATTTATAAATTATTGAAATCTTGTTTAGTTATGTTTCGATTTAAATTGATAAATCCCTTTACCGAGTTAAAAAAAACTTTAATATGTCATATAAGCAGTTCTTACTGAAATTAAAAATAATATAGATATTAGATAATAAGTCATACTGAAATTTTTTATTAATTATTATTATTACTTATTAATTTGTATATTCCTTATACGTTTTTAGTACTGGAAATACAAAAAAATTCAGTGAAACCACAATATTATGCAAAAAATAATGACACATTATGACATTTTATCTGAGACAAATAGTTAAACACTCAAACCTATCGTATAACCTTTAAAAAAATAAATTAATACTAATATTAATATGGTAAAAATATTACTTAAAAATATACAACCGTTTGAAATATAGGATGTCTGAATATTTATCATTTCTGTATACAATGATTGATCTTAAAATTTAAATTTGACATATCCATGCCAGTGACTTACTCAAGGACTATATTATACACTCGAAATTTACCAGCAGACCAACTTTGCTGGTTTTCAAATTTTTTTATTTGAAAATAATCTGGACAGCGGTGGCCATTTGGGAGTGTTAACATACTATATATAGGTAGTTTAATTTATTGTTTAAATATTAACAGAGACTACGAAACTTAATGCCTATGGGAATAAGAGTCGAGGCCCTGATTGAGCGATTCAGCCAATAGTTCTGGAAGCTCTTAATTTTCTCTGGCCTGTACGTGATATTATGTACCCTGCAGGACGTGCACATCTGCATTCTGCCGTGTATATTTTGTTTATTCTCACTTCCAACTCTTGACTTTACTCGGATAAGAAAATAATAATCACAGATATATTGATGATATATTGCATAAAATAATAATCTGGCTATAATAACCCTGTAAACAATGTTATGATATGAGCAACGGTGGACGTTCAATTGTATAGTTATCATTGTGTTGTTGTTGTATACGAATTTGAATACGTATTATTCGATTTCCACGACTTGGGTAACACGAGTGTTGGTAAATAATAAAGGCAGACGAGTGATTAATACGTCTTGTTTTTACGTCTTTATGAAATTATTTTCAAGTGTTTTAAAATAATATATATTTGTATAGAACACTACAAAATATGTACTGTAT